TCATTTAAGCTAATACTAGCAGGTCACCCTGTATTAATGGAAGAGTGATCATTTCCTGTGGCCCACTTTTATGAATGCATTATCCTCATTTGAACATGGATTTATTCAATGCTAACAATAACATCCCTTGGCTGTCTAATGGAATCAGACTCAATTATCATGACCTCTAACTCCTAAAGAGTTTGCTTCCATGGTTAATTATAATTAATTGTAGTAAGTTTAAAGGAGAATAGTTTGATTATTCATAGTATAAGAAACCTCCGACTCATCGTCGGATTGGTGTAGAAGTGAACTTGCAGCCTTGGGAATGGTGTAAACTAAACAAAAACATTAACAAAAGGGACTGAATTTGTGTGAAATTAAAAATATTTTAGAGCTACCGACTGATGTACACCCGTGAAGATTAACGAAAGAGTAATCAACAGTGAGGGTAAGAAACTGCTTATCATTAAGTCAGATACACAGTTATTTATCAGCATTATCTGTCTGTCTTCTGCCCCAAAAGTTAAATATTGAGGATGGAATGTATGTAGTTAAGGGTCACAACAGTGCAATGTCACAAACTATTCTACTAATCTGGTGTTGCAGATAGATAAACCAATGTAAATGTTGCAGCACAAGTGAGTGAATTCAATAAAGCACCATACAATTTGTCAAGATGCTTGATTATATTGCTTTAGTTTGTAAGCTGGCTTGCTTTCACATCAGAGAGCATCCACCCAGCTGATAATGGGGATCCAGCTACATTAACTGGGAACATTAGGAAGCTGCCTTATAGTTAGGCAGACCATCTCAGTACTGTCTAAACTGCAAAGGTTCTCTATGAATTCAGACCAGAGTCTTTCCCAGCCCTACAGGGAGATGCCTAGGACTGAATCTGAGAATATTTGCTTGCAAAGCACATGCTGACCTACAGTCCTTCTCCTTAGCCTAATGCTACAAGGAAATACTTCATCTTGATGTTAATGTTTTGCTAATAAAATTTGACAGCCCTTGAAAAATTGAGTTTTATGAAGCTACTGAAACTCTTGTCAGCACTTGCTGGTAAATATTTTCCAGATTTGACTTGGAAGTAACTATAGAAGTGACAGAATATTACTATTACTATCAGTGCTATTTTTCTAGAAAAAGAAGTGCTGGAACTTAAAATGAATGCCTCCCTTATTCTTTTATAATGGCATTGGCACCCATCTGAGAGGTGACGAAACTGAGTTCTGGCAAGTTTTGTCTGAAAAAAAGCCCTGATTACGATTATTTATTAAATTAGGTATACCAATACATTTTGCATCAGACAGAATGTTTTCCACACTTTATAATCCTAGTCATAGTTACCTGATGTGGGAGATTGCAGTCAAATACAGCATAGGGCTAGTTAATGCATGAGGGGGTAAAGGACCACAGTGTTGTATTCCTAGATAGACTCAGTAAGGTCATGCCTCCTCTTCCCCCAGAGAGAGAATAAGAGAAAACTCCTCTCCCTTCAGAGAGAGAGGAACTTCCTCTGTCTCTCTCTGCATCATGTAAACAGAGAAGAAAGATGTGTATGAACTTGCATAGCACAGGTTTGGAATTATATTCTGTACTTCCTACCCAAGAGTATTCTTGCCTGTGTTTCTCCCTGCAGCTGCATGGAACAACACATGTATCAGATGTATGAATCTGTAAGTAAAGCATTTAAAACTTACTTAGCAGTGCGTGATGTGGTCCTTGCAAAGCAGGTAGGAAGAGGGGAACATTGTAAATGGGAAAAGAAAGGTTTAACAACCTATATTCCAAATGTTACTGCTCAACTTTTATGAGTTTAATACTTTGGTACTGAAGCTCTGCGTGTGTAAGCCCTGAATTTTTAATCCAGGCACCCAGCCAATTATTTAGCTGTTCACCCACACACGTGGGTCCACAGGGATTCATATATTAAATTCCTCCGGCACCTGGAAGTAAACATCACTGAAAATAGGCTTACTTCAGAAAAAAATAGATGCATAGGATTTCACCTTGTCTATGCAAAGTATGGCTCCATGATAGTGGCAGGGGGTTTAGGATTGCCTTAATATGGATTGCTTGGAGGTTTATTAAATGCCTTTTAAATCCAGCACAAACAAGAAGGACTGATCTGCATCAATCTGACAGCATGTGATACAAGCAGTACACAACGTCTCAGAGCAATGAAATGGGGGACAGATGCTTATATAGTCCCCCACCTCAGTCTTGAATAAATAGCATTACCCTCCTGAAAATCTTTCAGTGCTTTACATTTCTAACACCATTTATTTATACATACTATTCATATCATGCTTACCATTTTTTTAAAAAAAATATCCAAGTGGTTTGGAAGAAAAAAATACAAGCGTAAGAACACAAAGCTAAATTCTGAGAGATAGGTAAAAATGCTAAATCAGAACACTGAGTGCAATCTGAAAAACTTTTTATTTAGAATCCCTCTTGTTATTCAACCATGAACTGAAACCTATATAAGGACAGGCTTCTCAAATAATGATGATGCTCTCATCCCATTGCTGTAATAAGCAATACTAAAGGACATCCCAAGTGGCAGTTATACAGACACAGCTGTCAGTCTATAGAGAAGAGGCCCCTCCCCCCCATTGTGTAAGTAGTCATTAAAGCATGAGGTAGGAAATGGTGAACATAAGCAGATAAAGGATTAACTATCACTTTAATTATCTGTGGGATCAAAAGGAATCTTTTCTGAAGAGATGTGAATCCCATTTGAGGCTTGATTGTAAAAGGGCTGCAGTGATGTGTCTTTCAAGTAAATATGCTCATAGCCTAGTCTTGCTTATCTAGAAGGCTAGGATTAAAATAATGAGAATTGTTGATTAGGCATCTATTTCCCTTCTTCAGTAAAACTCTTGTAGAATCCTCTTACAGGGAAAAGACTCCTACAGAGAGGCTAACACATGACCTCCCTGAACATATTATTAAGGGGAATGGGTTAATATGTATAAATACAAAAAGAGTCGCAGCTTGACTCCCAGTGGCATGCAGTAATATTATTATTTTTTTGTAGGGGAACAGTTAGGTCCAGATGTGCCAGCTTGTGAAGGCAATATGGGGGCAACGCTGCACGTGTGATGTTGTGGTGTCCTGACATTGTGCGCTTGAACATTGTGCCTTGCTCCCTATGCTGGGCAGAAGCTTCCTGGGCTTTGGGAAGGAAGCGCCAGGGTATCATTTAGGGGACTAGCCTAGTCTCTTAGCTGGCTGCTAGCATAGGTGCAAACAAACCTTCCCCTTGATCTGCTCAGCATTACTAATTTTTCCATCAGTGTCCCGAACTGGGCCATTAACTGTAGCATGACCTGCAATAAGTAACATGTCAAAACATTTATCTCCATGCTGTTAAAAGCTTCACCAGCTTATTCCTGCATATCAAATTGATGAAAAATATTCCCTAGGTCGAGGTTTGACTTAGTGTGAAGTGTGAATCAGTAAACAGAGTTCACCATTGTCAGAAGACTCCTGAGATCAGAAATGAGCTGGTGTGGACAGAAAAATGCTTGAAGCAAAAGTAGCATGGGTGTAGCCAAGATTGCGGGAGCTTCCCCCCTAAATTAAGCAAATTAATAAAAATGTTTAACTAACTGAGATGCTGCTCCTCCAACACAAAACCTGCCCCCCCTAACATAAATCCTGGCTATGCCCATGGTGGGTTAAACCACAGAGCCTAGGACTTGCCAATCAGAAGGTCAGCGGTTCGAATCCCCGCAACGGGGTGAGCTCCCGTTGCTCGGTCCCTGCTCCTGCCAACCTAGCAATTCGAAAGCACATCAAAGTGCAAGTAGATAAATAGCTACCGCTCCGGCAGGAAGGTAAACGGCGTTTCCGTGCGCTGCTCTGGTTCGCCAGAAGTGGCTTAGTCATGCTGGCCACATGACCCGGAAGCTGAATGCCGGCTCCCTTGGCTAATAAAGCAAGATGAGCGCCGCAACCCCAGAGTCGGTCACGACTGGACCTAATGGTCAGGGGTCCCTTTATCTTTTACCTTTATGCCCATGGTATGCAGAAAGATTACAAGATGAGCAATAAGAAAAAGATTAGCTCACCTTTAAACATTTGCAGTAACCACACTGTTTCATATATATAACAACAACCACCCTGTGTTTCGTATATATAACAGTTGCCTGAATAGCTCTAGATCAGATGACCTCTTTATTCAAATATGTCTATTTTTATGTACAGATGGTTCTTTTTAAAGGGGAAAAGTCACAAATAGGCAACACGCACACACCACCAGCAAAAGCTTAGCCCATAATAGCAATAAATATATAAACTGGCACCTAATCATGTAAAATATTGCATCCTTTAAAGTTATCCATTGTCTACACATTGGGTACACCTATAATAAATGAACTAGCCTGGGATTACTATTATTGCTTCACATAAACGGTACAAAGACCTAGTTGTTATTTATTTCACTTCTGTTGTAAACATAATCCCGTTTCTCCAAGGCAAAACTCTCACCTTAAACAGCCGCGCAAGCTATTATTGGATATTCAGTGCTAATCCAACCCTCAGCAACTGTAGCTCTTTTATATCTCCTTAGTAATGAGCACTGAAGCTGTTCACAGAGGTTTCTGCATTGGAGTATGAGCTAGTTATCTATACTGTAGCTGTGCAAACCACAAACAAGGAGCAGAACAGGAAGACATGATTCACACATAACTGGAAAGTAACTTGCAACAGCATGCTATAAGCAGTCACAAAGACCTAGTTTTTTATTGAGGTGATAAACCTGTCCCTAGGCTGTGCAATTTCAGAATTAATGTGGCCGTTCATATGTTTATTTCTTCATGCAAAAAATGTACTCCAGGTAGAAAACTTGGTTATAAATTGTTCTTGTGTTGCCTACAAGCCTTAGTGGGGTTGTTTATCTAAGAGAAGCATTTAGTTATGCAAGTCCTTTCACAGGATCAGAATTGTTAGGCTGGAATGGATCATGAGGGTCACCTAGTCCAACCCCCTGTAATGCCAGAATCTTTTTGCCCAATGTGGGGCTCGAACCCAAGACCCCAAGATTAAGAATCTCATGCTCTACCAACTGAGCTACTTTCCTGCAGTTGGAAGTGATGCAGAAGCTCAGACTCAGGTTTACTGCTCATGTGAGAACTAGGCTAGAGTTTTATAAACGTAAGAGGTCTATAGTTTTCCTGTTTTCTCATATATGATTTCAGATGTTTCATAAGACAGAACGTAATAAACAAGATCCTATGTCCAGTTTACTGAGTTCAGTGAGGCATGTAAGAATCCAATCCATGGCTCCAGTCACTGTTGCCTCTGGCCCATCAATGGACATGTTGCCTCTGGAATGTCACCTATGAATGAATGTGGCCCTCAGGCTAAAAACGTTCCTCACCCCTAGATGATCCCAGCAAGATGTTTTCATTCCCTTGTTCATAAGGGGAAAACACACCCTGTATTATATGTTGGTATTGTTGTTAGTAAAATTGCTGTAGGAACAAAACCCATATTAATAAGGTTCTGCATCCTGAGAAATCCCATTGAGCATGAGAAGCAGAATGGTCAGCAAATGATGGAGATATGTACACCTTGCACAAATCTATGGCATAATGTGATGATTCAGAAAACTATGCAGAAATGTGAAGCATAGCTCCTTCTAATTTTAGTATATGTGCTGCTGAAGCGAGCACAAGCATAGCTCCTTCTGAATGCATCCAGTGCATAGCACCTGACTTCGAAGCTGGCTGCCTTACCTGCTTATTAATTGCAAGGAATAAATATTTGTGTTCTTCTCACCAAGTATCTGTAGAATATAATATTTAGCAAGATTAATATATATATATATATATATATATATATATATAAATATAAATATATATATATATGTTTTTTCCTCTGTGTATGTTTGACTCAACAATTTGCAGCCTAGTACTTCATTAACACTGACATCTAGTGGCAGATTTCTGAATAAAGCTTCCATAATTATTCCTCTTTTCCTTATGAATTAAGATGGAACTTAATTTCTGGCATAAGTAGCAAGTGTTTACTTTAGTAATGGGATATGTGGAGAAATATTTGTGTTAGTGGACTTTAGATTATTTGTTTTATTACTATTTATAGACAAAAATTCACATGGGTGCAATGTACAAAAATCATTAATGCATCTATCAGGGTCAATGACATTCTAGGCAATCAGTTTATGGCAGACAGTTTATGTCCATGTAATCTCCACGTAGCTTTGTTTTGCTCAGTGGAAAAGGTGAGAGGGAAATGAAAGCATCAACCAACAAAGAGCATCGCAACACTGACAGCCACGCCCCTTGTGACCATGGCAACAGTGCTGAAAGCATCAGTCATGGAGAAGTGTGCCAAACCCTTGCCAGCTAGCAGCCAGCAGGCAGGCCTGGATGAACCATGGTGATCAGGATACAAGCCATTAGATTATCCTTCCCAATCAAACACACATGGCTAAATCTCACAGCCAGACTATGGACACTGTGGCACCAGCGGGCATAGCAGCCTCTGTGGTTACTGACGATTAGAGGGCACAAAAACTTGCTCTTGAGGCTTTGAATTGCATGCCACGCTGCAGAGCAGTTCCAATTTACTTACAGTTACTCACATAATCTGCACGAGAGCATGAGGGTTCCCATCTGTAGCACAAACTGAGTAACAAGCCTCAAATGTTAAGGGTCTAAACATGTGGATCTTACAATGTTTCCACAGTGAATCTACAGTGGGAAGGTCTCCTGTAATTTAAGGGAGTGACCACTGAGAGCTCTTCAAGTCTTTACTGATTGTACCACATACAGAGTTCTGAAGAGAAAGTCCTCAGTAGATCTTGTATATTTGAATGGGACACGAGAGAAGCTGCTTGATCTCTAAGGTATGTTGAGTACATATACTGTGTATTCTGTAAATAAAATAAAATAACAGCCACCTTGGCTAGTAGTTTACTATGACCGCTGACACTATGAAAAGAACATGGCACAGTACTGTTATTCTAAAGGCCTGAGGTGGACTACTCAACTCAGAGACTTTTAGAACAGCCCCCATGGCTTAAGGGTGTCTTTTCACGAATTTAAGGTTCGATGATTGAGGCCTTGCAATGCATCAGATCAAATTGCAATTAGCAGTATCCATTGACACAAACATAGTCCATATGAATTGTTAATTGTGTAGAAAGGTCCCATTGACTTCGGAGTGAAATTGCATTGATTGTATTTCAGGCCAATCGATTTCTAGGTGGGCTAAACAAAAAGAAAAAAGAGCTGAACTTGCATTTTTCAGATTGTCAATACTATTGACAGCAAGATTAAAGGCAGATTTCGAAGGAACCCCATCTGGAAGAACAAAGAATTGCATAACAATTCTTTTTATCTAGTTTATATAAAAAGACCACTAACTTATATATGTCTATGAAGAAGCTTTAGAAGATAGCAACAGAAGTACCCAAACATAGTACGTATATTGATAGAATTCTTGCTAATATCAAGTGATCACCAGATTTTACATGCCCCTCACTTTGAAAAGGGTTTTCATAAAATGCTGGACCACACACACACACACACACACACCACAGGGCGATAGATAATCCATGAATTGAAGGGGTGGAATATTCTTCCAAAACATTGCTTATGGAAGAATAGCTCACCATAAAATCAGTTTACAGATACTTAGCAAGATATCCTCTCAGTGACTTGGATAATTTTATATTTTTTAAAAGCTTCCACTGTCTTATTATTTTCCAGTGCTTGAATTTGAGTCACTGATATGAATCTATAATTTGAGAGAGACTGTAGACTTTTCAGTCTGACAAGATTGTGTGGGTTGTGTAGATTGGTGATGCCCACAGGCAGTAAACAAAAAGCAGGCTATATATAGCCTTTCTAACTCCATACCAGTCCTATTGCCTAGGCCAGACGTGGTCTTCTCTCTGAAGAATTGCTATATTAAAGGGGTAGCTCTGTAGCCTGGAGTTCTGCTCCTTGTTATTAGAATGGCAGTTCCTCATGGGGTTCAGGCAGTATTCAGTGAGAACTGGGTTTCCGCTATTGGGACCTGGTGTGGTATCAACCAAGGGGCTATTCTATATTTGGATCATATGGACAAGAGAGTCCTGCCAGATCAGATCAAAGGCCCAGATGGTTCAGGATCTTGTTTCCCACACTGGTCAACCAGTTGCCTATGGCAAACACACAACTGCACATAAGTTCAATGACTCTCCCCTGTTGTTTTTCTCCCAGCAACTATTATTCAGAGGCACAGTAAGGTAGTATAGAGCCATCATGACTCATAGCCACTGATAACTTTATTCTTAGTGGATGTGTGTAAAATAAGTCATGATCATCTAAGTTTGTGGCCATTGTTGCACTGACACATTGTCGTGTCAATGAATTCCATGGTTTAATCAGCCATTGAAAGAATTTAGGGGAGGAAACTCATTCATTTAAAAGAACCAATTTCTGGTAATTTCATTGTTCCTTTTCTACTGGAAAGTCAAACTAAAATAAAATGAAATACGTCTCCTTCAACTGGCTTAATATAGGATTTTATTTTTTTAAAAAACTGAAACAGTGACTTTTTATAGATGTGAAGTCATCATGGGAAAAATGTGTGTTTCTGCTGTAAGTTTTGATGCAAATATTGCAGAAACAGATTCACTTTGTCTTGGTTCACCCATCCCACAACAATAATGAATAATTCACTTCCAGTGACTCTCAGTCTCATATACATTCAAAAGCCTGCCAAGTCAGGCTACATCCACTTACCTAGGATTAAGTCTCATTGAATTAATTCTTACTTCTGAGAAGACATATATAAGATTGAGCTGTTAGTTTTGTCTTTGGTATTAAATTGATAGATTGGGATCTTCTGGTAGATTTCTGTGTGATCTGAAGTACGTCAGCAAGTATTTCCAGTTGTTTTGTGTTATACTGCTGAAGTGAAGAAAGCTGGAGCACGGTAACTAGGAGACAGTTTCTGTATGGCAGGACTGTGACCTCAGTTCATTTTTGATATTTAGTATTCTTACTTTGTCTGTTGAACAGGGCTATAGTTGGTGGATCTTGGATTCTAGTAACAAATTAGATACCACAAATTTTCCCTCCCTGATCTTAATTCAGATGCTCAAAGAGAGTGAAGAAGAACTCTGTTTCTTTTTTCTTTTCTTTGCAAATATTCAAAATTTCACAGCTATGTGTATGTTTTTAATACAGTATTCCCCAACAACAATTTCTTTTTATAAAGCAAGGGTGATCCATTACAGTGCATTTCTGCAGCTGTTAAGTCCGAATAAGGGACATACCACGAGCAAATTCCAGAGGGGTATTCATGATGGTCTGTTGTAGTAAAGACACAAGTCTTGTACCATCTTAAAGACTAACAAGTTTATTGTGGCATGAGATATCATGGACTAAGCAAACTTCATTTTCTTATGTCAAAATAAATCATAAATATTTATGATGGCATAAAGTTTTTTTTAAAATTTTAAACATATTAGCAGATGGCAAGCACCTTCAAAATCTTAATAATTAGATTTTGGATCAGGATGTGACTGTGAATTTGCATTAGAATGGCAATGGCTTATCTACTTGTGTTATTCAAAGAGTTTTAGGTCCATTAGCAGAACTGAATTATGAAACTTACGGTATCTGCAAGGCAATATAATGTATTGACATTACATTGTTCATTCTTTTTGAGCAGACTGTACAGGTTAGGATTTGCTATTTAATTCTCAATAGTACTGGATGCTTTATTGAAAGGTCAGTGAATTACTTGCATGAACATGCAGTGCAATCTTTTATATATTTCAAAATTCAATAAACAAATGTGGATGAAGGCAAGTAGATTACAGTGTATAAGCATGATGATGTTTGAAATAATCAAAATAGTCCTAAAAAGGAAACCTCAACCCAAATGTTAAATGTCATGTGGGTTGGATAATAGAAATAGCAGCATGAAATGGATGAAAGGGTGTGGGAAATCTACCACAGCATCATCTCTATGTTTGATTATCCTATGTGAAAGCAGGGAACTACATTGTTCTTTTGTGACCAGTGCAGTTACTTTGGGATGAAGCAGCTATAATATAAAAAG